TGCAAAGTATGTGGCACAGTGTGTAAATGTCAATGGTGTTTTCTTCTTCTTCATCTGGACTTGAAGAAACATAAATCAAGTGAAAATATTAAATCACGGAGGATGACGGTGCGGTGGCGGAATCCATTGGTGAGCATTTCCAAATCATGAACTGGAATCCATCTAGCGGCGGTGGCGACAAAGGGGTGTCAGTGATATCGTAGGTGGGTGAGCTTTGGCGGAACAGATCGACAATGTATTTTTCTGGTGAATCAGGAAACTCCAACAAGATATGAACCTTATTCTCCTCGACGAGCTTTAGATTCCAATTAGGCATAATGAGACGAACAACGCACCATAAACATCAGATTTGAAATTTTGGAGTTTGATGCTTGATCGAGAGGAGAAGAAAGGGCTAGCGGGGACTAGTGAATATGGACAATCGAAGGTATCAGAATCAGAGGAAGAAGATATGGTCCTGTGAGTGTATATGTATGTGAAAGAGATGTGAGTGGGTGGGTATGTTGAATTTGGGTATATGAACAATGCAATAATTACTTGGGTTCTAAAGATGCAAATGCAAATGACCAGGTGCAAACGAGAGAGAGAGAGAAAGAGAGAGAAATGAGAGATGGAGAGGAAGAGGGAGAAGGAGAAAAAGGGAGAAGGAGAAAGAAAGAGAGAGCGAGCGAGCGAGAGAGAGAGAGAGAGAGAGAGACCCTTTGTATTTAAATAATTATATTTTTTTCTTTTTTTTATATAACCAAAAACTTCATAAATAGTCCTTGTGGGAGTGAAATTTACGGAAATACCCTTCACTTAACGGACAAAACCGGCACGACACCGCGTACCGTAAAAAGTGAATTTGAGGATTTAATTATATATATTTTTCTTTTTTTTATATAATCAAAAACTTCATAAATGGTCGGTGTGGTAGTGAAATTGACGGAAATACCCTTCACTTAACGGACAAAACTTAACCGAGTTAGCAATAAGAACCTTTTGTTAGAAGTTTTGAAACCACATGGACCATCTGTGAGGTTTTTTAAACTTAGGGACTAAACTTCATATTTCGGGATACCACAGGGACTATTTATGAAGTTTTGTCAATTATATATAATATGGGGTTAAATACGAAAATTTAGAAAATTAATGGGTGAAAGTAACATTTTTTAAAGTTCAAAGTGAAGGGTTCTAAGAGATATTTTAAAGGGGTTGAAAACCCACAAACTCAAAAACATAAAAACACAGAAAAATTACATAAATAGTCTCTATGGTTTACCCATAATCACAAACTCAGTCTCTCCTACTTGAAAAGAGCAAAATACACTCACACTAACGGATGAACAGCAACAACGTCAGCAAAAAAGACCATTCAAGCAAATTTAAAAAAAAAAAAAAAATAGCATGTACTGAGTTTGTGACCTTTGGTAAACCACAAGGACCATTTTTGTAGTTTTGTCTAAAGTTATATATCCATCTACCTCTACTTATTATAATAAAAGAATAGTTTTGTAGGACACATGTCATAATTCTGGAGCTTCTCATAATTGTTTTCCCGACCTATTATAATAAAAGAATAGTTTTGTAGGACACATGTCATAATTCTGGAGCTTCTCATAATTGTTTTCCCGCCTATTTTATTTCATGCAAGATTACATTTATGTACATATCTTTTTATTTGAATTCTAACTTCTTAATTCAATTCCATCAATTCAGGATTTAATTCAGGCATGAAATTATCTCACTTAAACCCTAATCTCTTCATCTCTAATTGTCATCGGTTTCAAAAAGTTTTCCATTATATCAGAAATTTTAGGGTGTTTATTTGGAGAGTGGATTTAGGAATAGATATTGGAAGACAAGAGTATTTTGGTCGTTAATATGATATGAGGAAAGGGGCATCCCTCTTGAAAAGAAGAAGAAGCAGTGGTATAGCGGAAGATAGAGTCTCATTGTAATCAGAAGTCGAGGATGCTAGCGTTGCATTCAAAAAAAATCCTAATGTCTTATGCAGCCTAACAAAATTTTCTTCACATGTATTCTTGTCATTATTATAAGGCATCAATTAAATGAATTGTATGATACATTCACGAAATTTTAAATTTCAGTATCCATGTATAAGTCAGAATCTGAAGATTGTGTTTTTCTTGGTAACAATCTTTTTTAACAACTGAAATTTATTAAATGTCACACTCTCGCAAAGAGTTAGGGAAGAAAAAACGTTACAAAAAATGACGGGTTTGGGGGTGAGTCTATCCAACAAAGAAGACATTTACGATTCCTACTAGAAAACTAAAGATACAAATACTCAATCACATAATCAAAAAGAAGCTCTCGATGCATATAATCAGAGACCAAATCATTTCTAAGTCTCAAAAACACTCACCAAATACTTTAGATGATAACCCGCAACACCATCTTCTTTTTCAAGGTAGAACCATAATCATCAAACCACAACAAAGGGTCGAGACCTAAGGTGAACCAGAACATCCAAATCAATCCACTGAACAATTGCATTCCAAGTCCTAACTGCAACTTCACATTCCACAAAATAGATATAGCAACAACTCAAAATGAAGATGACACATCGGGCAAAACACATTCAGCACGTCAACCCCTCTATACACCATATTCGGTCTTAATGGACTACGATCCAACAGAATTCTTGTTAACAATCATAATTCATGATCTACCAAAAGAAACCCTATTATATTTCAATGTGGCGTCGATATATAATAGCAAAGAATGGAAATAAATGATGAAGCTTAACCGATTATAGTAAAACATCATTCTTGCTAACTTGCTCACCCCTACACTAATATAACTACATAAGTGATTATTGTAAAAGACGGTTTTATTGGTTTAAAAAATAAATGGAATTAATAATCTTAATATTAGATTCATTTAGAAGATAAATCAAATAGCCAGGTAAAATCATAAAATGCCATTACATATGGGCTTAATATAAATTCCTATTGATCCATTTGGCCAGTCAGAGAGGCCCATCTCCATGTTTCACTTTGAAGTTCTAGAGAGTTTGAGACGTCCGAGTCTCCACAAGCTTCAAGATGAGCCTAGAAATTCCTGTCCCACTCGATTACCTTTTCGGCTTTTCCCTCCTATAAATAATAATCACCGGTCGACCTCCTTACATCAAGAGACAAGAGAACTTTCCATATCATAGTGTCACAATATTAGATCAATCGTCAAAAGCTTCAGCCATGTCGATCATTCCAAGCTTCTTTACAGGCAGGAGGAGCAACGTATTCGATCCCTTCTCCCTCGACATCTGGGACCCTTTCCAGGGCCTTTCCAGTGCTCTCAGTAACCTTCCCGAATCATCACGTGAAACAGCAGCAATCGCCAATGCCAGAATCGACTGGAAGGAGACGCCGGAGGCCCACATTTTCAAAGCGGACTTGCCTGGGCTGAAGAAAGAGGAGGTGAAGGTGGAGGTTGAAGAAGGAAGGGTGTTGCAGATAAGCGGAGAGAGGAGCAGGGAACATGAGGAGAAGAACGACAAGTGGCATAGGGTTGAGAGGAGCTCCGGGAAGTTCTTGAGGAGGTTCAGGCTGCCGGAAAGTGCAAAATTGGAAGAGGTGAAAGCTAGCATGGAGAACGGCGTGCTGACAGTGACCGTGCCCAAGGCGGAAGAGAAGAAGCCGGAAGTGAAATCTATTGACATTAGTGGTTAAGGATTTACGAGCTGCTAATATATTATGAGTATTAAGTATGTTTAATAATTGCATAAGTTAAGAAATTGTGTTGTTGAATTGTTGTCCTCGTTTAAGATGATGTAATCTGATTTCTATACGATAATGTTGTATTGACTTGTTTGCTCTAATTTGTTTTTATAAGGTCTTCTTACTCTTCTATAATATCCGTCGTTTAGAATTAGATGGTTTGTGTGATTATGTCATTATTAGATGGTTTGTGTGATCGTGTCATTATTGGGTGGGTTTCTGTTTTTTTAGCATTTGGGTTGGTAATCATGATATTACGCTTATATTTTAATCATCAAATACGAAAAACAGTTATGTCCGGAATTAAAGAATGGATCGAGGAATAAAAACTTAAATTAACAAATTCCTTTGATGAGACTCACTTGTGAAATGATGTTTGTATTTATTATATTTAGGGCAATGACATAATAAAAAGATAAGATATGGGACGAAATTGTAATATAATATATCATGTTCGTGTTGTGTTCGTGTTGTATTCGTGTCAAATGTAAAAAATAAGATGTTGTGTTCGTTTTCAAAATTCGACATGAAATTGACATAATATAATATTTGTTTGTTATGTTTGTCGTGTTATGTATGATTAAGTATTTAATTAAATAAGTTATATGTTATCTTTCCGAGTCTTGTCACGTTTCTCGTTTTTTTATTGGTTCATTTTCGTGTTAGTTAAAAAAAGCACGACATCAAAATGTGTTGTGTTCGTGTCAAATAAAACACTGTCATCGTGTTGTATCAGACAAAAACACGATATGATTGTCTAATTTGCAACCCCTAGTTTAAGGTGATGATCAAGATATGTGTGTATCCAAATAATTTGTGTGAATTAGAAACGAACCATTTAAAAATGTTTGGACTAAAATAAGAAAACACGGTACCATTCTCCTTTTTAAGATATCTATTTGGCTAAATATAGATTTCTTAAAATTATTTTATAATAAATATCAGTTTTATAATACGTGGTATAGAGTGATTAAAGAGTTTATATAACTTTAGATATAATGGTTTATGTGGTTTATCGAATATTACAACTTTAATTTCTAGACAAAATTGCAAAAATGGTCCATGTGGTGTGTATTTCTTTGGGGTTTTAGTCCAAACCACAATTTTTTTTTTAATTGGTGGTCTTTTGAGCTAGTTTCGTTGGGTTTTTGGTCACTCTGAATAGTGAAATGACCTTATATATTATAGATATTATATATATATAATATATATATATATATAGATATATATATATTTGTTTTTTCTATTTAATTTAATGCTTTATTAATTAAAAATATGGGGTCCACCCCCCCCCCCCCTCTCTCTCTCAAAAACGAAATCAGCCCTTGTCATTACCTAATCCCCCAAAAACGAAATCCACATTCTTCGTCTTCTCTATCTCTCATTCATCAGAAAGGTGTCGACTTCAACGATTCTTCTTCAGATGATCTAATCCGGTGGGGAAACTCCAACAACAGCTTCATCATCGTTGACTCTTTAGCTTTCTCACAACGCCTCTTACCTGCTTACTTTAAGCACAGTAATTCTCTAGTTTCATTCGCCAACTTAATACCTACGTAAGCAATTGAAATACCGTTTAGTTCATATTTATTTTATGTGTATGTGTTTATGATTGATTTGTGATCGATGTTTATGTAGGGATTCAGAAAAGTGAATCTGGATCGATGGGAGTTTGTGAATGAGTGGTTTCTGAGAGGACAAGTGCATTTATTTAAGAACATTGTGAGGAAGAGGCAAGTGAACAGAAGCGGTGGGTGTCAATTGCTTGCGATGATGAATGTTTTCTTCTTATTCTTCCAGATGTTATTGCACATCGCCATGGCTTCTGCAGCTGTTGTTCCTTCATCGAGTAATGAAGCATTTGACATGGGTAAACCAGTAAGATCCGTTACCATGGTTTGGAAATTGAGCATGGATTCGAGCCTTCCCTGTGCAATTTCAGCCTGGTAGGGAGTGTATTGTAGGGATGAGATTTTGAACCGGAAAACCGGACCGGAAACGGAACCGTTAAAACCGGAATATGTAAAACCGGTCCGAGTTCCGGGTTTAAAGAATGGCTCTATCCGGGTTCCGGGTAATCCGGGTTTCGGGTCCTTCGGGTCCGGGTAAACCGGGTTTAAGAACCGGAACCATGTTAGGAACCTGAACCGGTTTTAGGGGCCGGAACCGGTTTCTATGAAAAGTTTAAAACATGCATATCTCATTCGTTTGAAGTCGGATTGGCATGAGGTTTTTTCCATAGTATATTTTATAATTTTAACATGATTTTAGATTATAATTTTGTCATTTTTGGGTTTATATTCATTGACTTATAGTCTCTCAAAGTCGGGATATCAAAGCTGTAAATTTTATGTTTTTCAGCTTTTTTTTGTATTCTGTGATAGTTTTAAAACATGCATATCTCATTCGTTTAAAGTCTGATTGGCATGAAGTTTTTTCCATAGTATAGTTTATAGTTTGTACATGATTTTAGACTATAATTTTGTCATTTTTGGGTTTATATTCATTGACTTATAGTCTCTCAAAGTCGGGATATCAAAGCTGGAAATTTTATGTTTTTCAGCTTTTTTTTTATATTCTGTGATAGTTTTAAAACATGCATATCTCATTCGTTTGAAGTCGGATTGGCATGAGGTTTTTTCCAGAGTGTAGTTTATAGTTTGTACATGATTTTAGACTATAATTTTGTTATTTTTGGGTGTTTATTCATTGACTTATAGTCTCTCAAAGTCGGGATATCAAAGCTGAAAATTTTATGTTTTTCAGCTTTCTTTGTATTTTGTGATAGATTTAAAACATGCATATCTAATTCGTTTGAAGTCGGAATAGCATGCGGGTTTTTCCAAAGTGTAGTATAGAGTTTGTACATGATTTTATACTATAATTTTGTCATTTTTGGTTTCATATTCATTGATTTATAGTCTCCTAAAGTTGAGATATCAAAGCTGCAAATTTTCTTTTTTTTTCTCAGCTTTATTTTTGTATTTTGTGAAATTTTAAAACATGCATTCGACCCACTTTACCTAGTTCCCCGGGTTTTTCAGTTTTAGACCCACTTTACCCGGTTCCATTCGACCCACTTTGATATTTTCGGGTTTTCCGATTCTAGACCCACTTTACCCGGTACCTTACCCGGAACCGAACCGGAACCGGTTCCTATATACCGGTCCGGTTTCCGGTCCTAAAAAATCTCGTTAACCAGTTCCTGGGTTTTTTGGGTCCGGGTCTATCGGTCCGGGTTTGGACCCACTCTCATCCCGTAGTGTATTGGGTGTACCAACCAGGGTTTTTTTCCATAATGTTCCTCAAAATCACAGGAGGAATAGAGGTGTTGTAATACCCCATACCAATAAACGACTTATAAACCCTGTTTTTGGAAACAAACCCATGAAAGTTTCTTTCTGATCATACAATTCTGTCACGAGAAAGGTATGGAGATAACGAGAAAACATACCTCGAAGATGAATACAACGCAGGGGATGGTGAACTTTGCTTGGTTTGTTAAACCAGGCGCTTGAGAATGGCTTTGTTTGCTAGCAGAGATTATTTGGGGAAGAAGATGGATCGGGTGGTTTTTTGACTTTTGAGAGAGAGAGAGAGAGAGAGAGAGAGACCCTTTTTATTTTTTTAATTATTAAAATAAATAAATTAGTATTATTTTTAATTATTAAAATAAATAAATTAGTATTAAATTTAAAAATAAATTAGTTGAAGCACCTGAAAGCAGGAGACCATTTAGGGCTCTTCTGGATGTTGGTTTTCTCAAGACAACAACTAGAAACCTACTTTTGGTGCTCTTAAGGTATTAATCTGAATTTCAACTTCTTTATGGTTTGTAATGATTGAAATAATGAAAATTGAATGTTTATTCTATAAATGTGTAAGGGAGCTCTTCATGATGGACTTCATATCCCTCAAACTCCCACATTCAAAAGAGGCTTGCAGGCTTTAACAAAGATGGTAGATCCCTTGATGCTGATGTTCATCTCAGGAACATCTATGGAGGCTATGATGCTTCTTACATGAATGTGAGTTTAATTTATAATATCTCTCAAGTCCTTTTTTTCTTCAATCTATTTGACATATTTTATACCATGTAAGTGTACGGAATATAAATAATGATGGATTTGTGGGAATGTTAGCTAACAATTAAGAATTGTTTGTTTGTGAAACATTGACATATTTAGAAGAAAATAATTCTTGTGACATGGTGAGTGAAAAGGATCTATGGGAAGGTGGAAATATGGTGTCAAATGAAGATTATGTGATGGTGAGACAAGATGATACACTGGATGGAATTGCATGCTTCATGGCTACGTATCTGCTTTCCCTTAAAGAGACTAAGGTACACACTTTTTGTCATGTTCATTTGTTTGATTTCTTATTATAATTTATATGTGATGTGGGTAATTAATAAATCAACCCGCTTTGTTTTTCTTTCATAGGACTTGAGTCCAAAACAACTCCAACATGGTGAGTTTAGATTAACATATTGTGTATTCCAAATAAATCTCAAAAATCCTATTAAAAATATGAAACTCTAACCCCCTATATGAAGACTTTATCCTATAAACATAGTTCACTTTTTGATTCAACATGTAGAGAAAGCAACAAAGAGAACACTTGCAACACTCTTTTTCTTAAGGTATGTAAAACTCTACCTTTGTATTTTGTACAATGTAAATTAGTATTTGTAAATTAAAAATGCTTTAAACTTTAAGAAATCCTTGTCTATTTGACTTTATTTATGAAACAATTGCACCAAAAGTGTAAGTATTTTTGGGTGTGACGAAGCCATTTACACTACTTTAAGTGATTTTCCATTTATTTCATTTGTATTTCATTGTTAATTGGTTATATCTGATTGATTTTTATTATTCAATTATATAAAATATGATGTTGTGGCTTGACAGAATGAACCGCAGAACCCAAGTTATTCATTTTTAAGATCTCTATAATTTTGTTTATAAAGTGCAACCATCTAATGCAAATGTATGTTTCTTCAGTAAGACATTTGCTATAAATTTTCCACCATGTAAGTGTATCTTATCTCTATTGTTTATAATTATTTAACCTGATTGCCTAACTAATAAATACTTGTATTACCTAGTTGACCAGGGAGTTGGATGCTACTTTGGATCTTGGTTAAAAGAGTATTGCGATTTAAGGCTAATCCTTCACTAATTATTTCTTAAGTTTAATCATACTAATGCGCTTTTTTAATTTTACAGTACATGCATAATGAAATTTATCATATTTTACAAGATATGAAATTTAAAGTTTTTGATATTTTTCATTTAAGAAATGAAAGCAGGTTGGTTATAATGAACAAATGGATAAAAGTATATTGTTATTTCAACAAAAACCCAAGTACATGGGTTCAGTTACATAAATAGTTACATAAATAGAATCAAGAATAATGTATTTAAATTTTAAAACTATTTTTTTTTCATTTTTGTCAAAAATACAATTTTGATTATTTTTCTCATTTCAATTGGTTAAAACAGTTGAAAATTAGTATTTTCGTCATTTTAAACTTTGCATTACAGAAACAAAAAAAAAGCACATTTCAATCGTTATGACCAGTTTGATCATATTTGTCATTTTGGTCAAAATGAAAATTTTGATCAATTTGATCATTTCAATCGGGAAAAAATAATGTGATTTGGTCATTTTAAACATGCCATCACAATTACAAAAGAATATTGTCCAACCGTTTTGATTATTTGACTATTTAAGTCTAATTTTTGTCATTTTTTTTTCTCATATCAATCACATAAAACATTAAGAAATTAGTATTTTGGTCATTTTAAATTTGGAATTGCAGGTACAAAAAAACACAGTTGTTCATTTGCCAAATTAACCATTTAAGGTTATTTTTGTCATTTTGGTCAAAATGATCATTTTACTCGTTTCATTCGGTCAAAACAGTTTAAAATTAGTATTTAGTTCATTTTAAACTTTACATTATATGAAAAAAGAACAACACATTCAGACCGTTATACTCATTTCGACCATTTAAGTATATTTTTGTCATTTTGATCAAATTCACCTATGTAATTGCTTGTGGTACGTATTATAACCTGTTTGGGTGTAACGATCCAAAAATCAAGGGTAAAAAAAATTCACTTTTATTATAGTCAAAACACATATGTCGTTTAATCCAAACATTCCAAAAACATTGCTGATTAAAAATATTTATCAGAGTTCATCCCGAAATCACATATCGCGAAAAACACGGGTGTGTGCGCTGCGATCAAGCCGGGCCCTTCCTTTCCAAACCGATGATACCTGAAACCATAAACAAAACTGTAAGCACGAAGCTTAGTGGGTTCCCCATAACATACCCCACATAAAACCACATAAATCCACATAAGCCACATAAGCCATACATACAAAGATATAAGGATGCCATGGAAACCCTCCAAGGTGTTACTTCGGGTGCCATGGGAACCCCCACATGGTCTTAGCCCACTGTCATGGGAACCCCCACATGGTCTTAACTAATCTAAAAAAATGTCATACAAGCCATGTAACTATACATACAAACATATAAGGATGTCATGGAAACCCTCCAAGGTCTTACTCCGGGTGCCATTGGAACCCCCACATGGTCTTAGCCCACTGCCATGAGAACCCCCACATGGTCTTAACTATCTGCCATGGGAACCCCCACATGGTCTTCACATAAATACATAACACATTGATAGCACATTCGCAAATACCCACTATACGCAAGAGTCACGAAGACAACTAGCATACTACATATCATAATCATGGGCCGGCCTTGGTGCCTTCGACCCATTGGTATGGTGAGGAGACTCACATTACACTGCTGAAGTTCCGCAGATAAAACTACAGCTGTTGGCTGATAGATCCCCGAACCAACTCAGCCACTACGGGTGGCAGGCGGCAACCAGAGCACAACATAAAATGGCCACTCGGAGCTG